AATTCAAAGTGAGAAAGAGCTACATATTGTTGCCAAAGGAAAGGTGGAAAAAAGAAAATCAGAACAAGTAATTACTGTTCATAATGTTAAGATTGTGATTGGTCTTCTACGAGTCTCGGTTGATCAAGTGGTGATACCAGCAGCTCTTATACCATGTCCAACCTCAGAGTTCACGTACGTGTCTCAAGATAAGGGTAGTTTTTCTCCCTAGCCAAGTCACTTGATTTTTCCAATGACGAAGGTAAAATTTTATGCTTATAATATTACAAAATTATGTCCCAAAGTGGTTATTGAAGTCTCAGGTTTGTATGTTAGTTTAATCATTTTTCTTTTTGATTTGTGCATTTACTTTAAAGGGTGATGTACAAACAGCAAAACTCTTGACTACTCCATCCCCAGAATACCATCATCACAAGCATCCACTACTCATAAGTATGTCATCAAAGATGAGGATTGTTCTAAGTTAACTACTAGTTTGTTGCGAAAATTTAAAATTGAAGCTTGGAGATGAAAGAAAATGATGATTGCATATCAATAACAATCCCAACAAGTGTGTATGGACATGAGCAGAAACTTAAAATTGATTATGCAGATATTTTTGACAAGTGCTTTTAAAGAGAGATTGGAGCTTCACATTTGTCTATCTTTATGAAGTAAATGCCTAATGACTTACCTCTTTTTTCTATTGCTTTCTAACTATCATTTTTATATTATTTTGTAATATATATGTTAATTGATGTGGAAGGTACTTGAGCGAAATGTGTAAACAAGATAGTGTTGCTGGAATGTATAGATTTTGCGATATTGGTTGTTTATCTCCGCTGACACCAATGACTGAAGAAGGACGGTCAGACTATTTAGCAAGTGTGTTTGGTCAAAATGAAGAGAAGAATCTTAATCAAATTTTCTTTGCTCCGTATAAAGAAAAGTAGGTGTGAATTATATATAAAACTATTTTTTGGGATATTCAATGATTATAATGTAAATGTTTCTTCTCTTACTAATGTTACATATAGTCACCATTGGATGGTTGCGATCATTAGTCCTTGGAATGCAGTGGTGTTTTGGCTGGATCCAGATGGAGCAGAAAATGAAATTAGTGAATTTACATCACATATTCATTGTATCTACATATAAGGTGCTTTAAATCAGTTTGCTTTTTTTTGTGTTGTGAGTGAGGACGTATAATGCAATATCGATAATTACTAATCTAATTTTTTGATTAATTTTTGTAGTGGGATAAAAAAGTTTAGCCAAAAATATCGAAAAGAAATTATCAAGATAAAAAAGAATCCGGGAATTAGGTGGAAGAAACCATTGGTAAATTTAGTTAATATATACAAAGCTTCTTAGTAATTATAAAAAAGAATTATCATGTGACATAATTGATTTTTTATTTTTGCAAGTGTCTTCGTCAATCACTAAATCCCTGCGATAGTGGATACTATGTGTGCCGCTACATGCTTGAGACTATAAAAAAAAAAGACGACAAGTGATTCCTGATCAGGTATTATTCATGCATGCATAATGTATAGTTATCATTAATTTTGTGTTGGATTATGCTATGTAGTGGATTATATAGTGTAATCGCCTAATGACTTACTTCATCTACTTGGTTTGATTGATTTTTGCTCTCATTGAGTGTATGTTGTGTTAAAACTAGTCAGTAAGGCTGAGAGTATCATGTTATGTATGTGTGCAGTAGGTTAGACAACGTATTTTACTTATAGTGTGTTTTCTTTGTGGTGGGCTTCAATGCTTTTCTACACTATAGAAAATTTTCCATTCAGATGAAATAATGCATGCTTGATTTTAAACAGAAATAAGGCATGTAAAGTTAGTTCACGTTGTCTTTTTCATGTTCTTCATAGTGTACTTTAACTCAATGTATTTGTAGTTATTAACGCATGTTGTTAATGCTTTATATGTAGTCTTTACTGGAGTATCTACTTCTTATTCTCAAGCAAAGATTGACGAGCTAAGAGACTTATGGGTTAATTATGTGCACGAGCATTATAAGCAAGTCGGTGAAGAATATGACGATGGCGTGGATTATGATGAGTAAATTTATATGCGTGATACCATTACAATTTAAGTATTTTATATTGTCTTTTTTCCTTTGGTACTACGTACAACATAAACATTCTAAATTTATACTCGTAGTAAAATATTTATTTTCAATGAAAGTATGCAACATTTTATCTTGTATAGTAGCTTATTTCCATATTTTTGTTTCTAATTATATATATACAGGTTTGTCACCTGCTAGGTACTCGTTACATTATGTTGCTTTAAAAAAAATTAAAAATTAAATGAATAAATAAATAAGAAATCGGTTGTCTAACAAATCTCGCCGGCGATTTCATTCATATTATTATTATATTTTAAAATTTTGAGCCTAGATAAGAGACCCCTTTTCCAGTTAGGGGGGTTTTTAAAAATGTGCTTTAAGATACCCCTTCTCGCTCTTATGTGGTTCCATACACATCTTTCATGTATAATTTAAAGGGTTGGATAAATAACCACCTAAGAAAGAAAAGGGGTTTCTTATTGTCTGTAAGAAACCACCTCCAAAAAGGGGTTTCTTTAGCTAAGAGGTCGCTGACCTTAAGACCCCCTCTCATGTCGTCTCAAAGGGAGGTTTTAGGGGCTTTCTTATGGGTTTTTTGCAGTGGTGTAGTGGGGACAAGTAGAGAGAAGCTTTTCAGATGATGAAGCATTTTCATGACGGGCATGAGTGAAGAGCGAATCATGCTTATTTCTCATATGATGTGTTTTAGTTGCTTTGAATATTATAATTTTATTATGATCATGAGAATAACGCAAAGGTTTTAAATATTGATTGGGTTTTAAGGGCCTACAATGGTTCCAAGTTGTAAGTTGACTTAGTTTGACTTAGTTTGACTTTTACTTTCGTTTGGTTGACTTTTTAAGTTGACTTGTTTTTAAATGGTTTTAAAAGTAGTCTTCCGCTGTGTGTGAGTCTTTGATATTTTCCTTAGCCATTTTCACGGTGGCGGTAATGTCTTAGATTTTCCTATTTCGTATTTTAAAAGGGCAAAATAGGTATTTTAACAGAAAGGAATTTCTAGGGTGTTACAAAGTGGTATCTGGGAGCTTTGGTTGAGATTTTTATTACCAGTAAAGCTAAAAACGTATTTTAAAGTTTTTTGTTTTAAACTTGGCCAAGTGCTTATTTAATTAAGTTATTTTAAAAGTGAGTTATTTTAACTTATTTTAATTTTTGGAAACCTTAAAAATTTATTTATTTTTTTTATAAAAAAAAAAGTGGTCTGATTTTTTTTTTTATTAGGGGTGTTTGAATTTTTTTTAAGTGGCTAAATATTTAGGCTTTTTCGGAAAATTATTTTGAAAATTAAGTTTAAAAATAAGGAGTCAAAAATATTTTTAGTTTGTTCATTTTGCAGGAAAACAAGGATTGAGGTAAGTATTATGTGTTAAAAGCTTTTAAAAGCATGTTGGTGAGTTTGGATGGGAAAGAATTTGGGCATTTAAGTTAGAAATAATCATGTTCTTGTATGCATTAAATTTTAGGTTGTGATTTTTTATCATGTGAATTGATTGAAAGCATGCGATTATATAATTAGAATAAGTGAAATTGTTTGATTGAACATTGAACCTAATTCATGCAAGAACTGTATTGTTTTTATTTTCTTTAAGAAGGGAATTCTTTTCTAAACCTTTTCCTTTACAAGATGTCGATTCTTCCTAACAAACTTTCCCAAATTGGTACTCTAGTTAAGAAAGACTATGAACATCCGTTTGACTATGTCAACAAAATTCAATTCTATTGTGCCCACATGAGCAATGTCTTAGGAGACAAGCATTATGACCTTCCTGATCGTGTTTCTGCTATGATTATTCATTGTCTTCCAAATGAACCCCCATATCTTGTTGTTAAATCAAAGTTCTCTGATTTCTATTTACCAGGGGACATTCCAAACTACTCTAAATATAAAAATTTCTATGGACAGTGGTACCCTGATTACAGATACTTGATTTCTTACCTTGTTAAAGTTGATAAAGATTATTGTCAGCACTTAAACATTCCATATCCTTACTATTACTATAATATTCCGGCAGGGAATAATTTTCCTTACACTAGTCACCAGTCAGGAAGTTCTTCTCCTACTCAGGGTAATCAAATAGGGACAGGTGGAGGGAAAGAAGAAGGAGAGATGATGGGTGAGAGTAACTAGACTGTTGATAGTTCCATTATGGAAATTCCAAATCCAAATCCACCTCCAACTCCAGTTATAATGATATTTCATCTGATGATGAGGAAGATGAAGTGTTTGTCCAAGTAGAGAAAGAACCAGAGTCACCTGAACCAATGGAAGAAGAGGATGACCTTGAATTCGATCCTGGAAGCTACAAACAATCTCCCTACTGGAGGGATAAAGTTTGAAAGGACTAGATTTTTGTAGTTTCATTTCTTTAGGATTCTTAGATTTATTTTCGCATTCTAAATATTTCAGTTCCAGTAAAGTAATAAGTGGCATGTCCACAATGAGCCAGTAAACTTATGTAGTTGCATAAGTTACTTAAATCCATTCTATTTCAGTATTCCATTCATTTTCTTGCTTATCAATAATATTCCATTTAATTATTTGTCAATTAATTTATTTTATTGACAAATCATTAATTTCGTTCTCAAATCATTTATTTCATATCACTACTCCAATAAGCCATTTCTTGTTCAAAAATATTCCAATAATTTATTTCTAAACTCTGGGAATCTATGAGAATTATTTTTATTTATTAATGTGATGCTTTATTAAATGTGTGGTTGGTTAGCAATCAATATTTAATTTGGTTAAAAAGCTACAAATTTTGGGAGTTTTAAATTCCAATTTGGTTGCTTAAAATTTAAAGTGTATGTTTCAAGGGTGTTAACTAGTTAGATGGTTGTTTGACTTGAAAGATAGCCAAGACCGTTTTTAATAAAGACCCATTTGTATGAATTCAGGCGAGGAAGAATGGCAGGAGGGAGTGGTAACAACAATGATGGTGGAGAGTTGAGTGTAGTTGTGAGGCAATTGGCAGCTATTGCTCAACAGTTGGCAAGGAACTCAACCAATAATGGAGATGCTTAGGGAGAACTGTTTAAGAAGGTGGCGCAGAGTAATCCACCAACCTATCAAGGAGAGCTTGATCCAACTATACAGGAAAACTGGTTGAGGGAGTTTGAGAAACTGTTCGGGGCAGTAGGGTGTCCAGAGAACTCAGAAGTAGGCTGTGCTACCTATTACCTTAGGGGTGAAGCTGACCTTTGGTGGCAGCAAAATGAAGCTACCATTAAGGCATTACCTGGATTTAATTAGACTATGTTTCAGGAAAAGATTAGGGATAAGTTTTACCCTAACTTCTTACAGAAACAAAATGCTGAGGAATTTTCTAATCTTGCTATGGGGAATATGTCAGTTACTGAATACTACACCAAGTTTATTGAGCTGTCACGATTTGTTAAGGAGTTTGTTTCTACAGAAAAAGTCTAAGGCTAGAAAGTTTGAGAGTGGTCTGACTACTGATTTGCAGTTAAAGCTATGCGGTCAAGTATTTGAAACCTTGGATGAAGTGTATGGGAGAGCTTCACACCTATACGCCTTAGAATTAAAGAAAAAGAAAGAGATAGCTGAGACAAAAGGGAGAGAAAAGAGAAAAGAGAAAAGAGGTGGGACAGAATTCTGGAAACCCATAAGGTAACCAAAACAACTTTAAGAAGCAAAAGTACCACCATAATAACAACAACTTCCACAACAACAATAATTTCCAAGGCAACAATCGCTAAGGGGGGCGGAACTTTAATGGTGGAGCTAGGAACTCTAGCCAGGGAAATAACAAGGGAGCAAGGCATTTCTATTGTAAGAGGTGTAAGAATGACCACCCTGGAAAGGATTGTGATGGGAATTTGGTTACCTGTCAAGCTTGTAACAAGTTAGGACACAGGAAGTATGAATGTTTCTCTAAGGACCCCAATAGAAACAGGCAGGGAAATAATAAAGGTGGGGTTCAAAAGAGCTTTCAGGGAAGTAACAACTATTCTGGGTACAAGGGAGCACAACAGAATACGGTGAAACCCAACAATAATAATGGGAACAACCAACAGAAAGGTAGGGCTGCAGGAAAGTTGAATGTTATGAGTAGGCATGAGGCTGATTCCACGAAATATGTCATCACTAGTACATTTTCTATTAAATCTATTCCTATTAAAGTCTTGTTTGATTCTGGTGCAACTTTTTCTTTCATTTCAAAGGCTATTGTTTTAAAATTATCAAACTGTTTGAAAACCGTAGATGAGGTAGATTTGCCTATAGTTATTTCTACGGGTGGGGTAGTAAAGTGTAACAAAATCTTTAGAGATGTACCTTTAGAAATTGAAGGAAAAGTGTTTTTGCCAGATCTCATTGAGTTTGGATTAAGTGACTTCAATGTCATTTTGGGAATGGATTGGTTGAGCAAGTACAGTGTAGAGATTAGTTGTTGATCACAGAATGTGAAAATGACTACAACTGATAATGAGTTGGTGACATATTGGATGCATGGTGAAACCAAGTGCCCAAGGATCATATCTGTGTTAAAATTGGCAAAGTATATTAAGAAGAGGCATCCAGTATATTTATGTAGTGTGAGGAATATGGAGAATGAGGAGACAACTAAGCCTGAAGATATAAAAGTAATGAATGAGTTTCTGGATGTGTTTCTAGAAGAGATTCCTGGAATGCCACCCAAAAGGGCAATTGATTTCACAATAGAGCTAGTTCCAAGAACAACACCAATTTCCAAGGTACCATATCGAATGGCACCTGCAGAGATGAGTGAGTTAAAAGAGCAATTGCAGGATTTATTAGAAAAGGGTTATATAAGACCAAGTGCATCACCTTGGGGAGCGCCAGTGTTGTTTGTGAAGAAGAAGGATGGAAGTATGAGGTTGTGCATTGATTATAGGGAGTTAAATAAGGTCACCATGAAGAACAAGTACCCATTACCAAGGATTGATGACCTATTTGACCAGTAAAGAGGCGCAACTGTATTTTCTAAGATTGATTTAAGGTTTGGTTACCATCAACTTAGGATTGCAGATGAAGATATTCCCAATACTGCATTTAGAACAAGATATGGACACTATGAATTTACAGTAATGCCATTTGGATTGACGAATGCTCCAGCAATCTTTATGGACTTGATGATTAGGGTGTTTCATCCATTTATTGACAAGTTTGTGGTAGTGTTCATAGATGATATACTGGTGTACTCGAAGAGTAAAGAAGAACATGTAGAACATCTAAAGGCAGTTCTGCAAACACTAAGGGAAAACAAGCTTTACGCAAAGTTCTCTAAGTGTGAGTTTTGGTTGGATAAAGTAGCATTTCTTGGCCATTTTGTGTCCAAAGATGGAGTATAAGTAGACCCCGCAAAGATAGAGGCAGTGAAGGGTTGGCCTACGCCAAAAACAGTGTCTGACGTTAGGAGTTTCTTAGGTTTAGCAGGGTATTATAGACGTTTTGTGAAAGATTTCTCAAAGATTGCTAAACCTATGACCTCTCTAATGAAAAAGGACAAGAAGTTTGAATGGGATGGTAAGTGTGAGAAAGAATTCCAACTCTTGAAACAAAATCTAATCACAGCGCCAATACTTACACTGCCATACGATAGTGGAGTTTATGATGTATATAGTGACGCGTCCAAGTATGGTCTAGGATGTGTATTTATGCAAAATAGGAAGGTGATCGCGTATGCATCAAGACAATTAAAGACTCATGAAGTAAATCACCCTACTCATGACCTAGAATTAGCTGCAATCATTTTTCCACTAAAGATTTGTAGACATTACTTGTACGGGGTGAAATGTAGTATTTATACAGACCATAAGAGTTTGAAATACATTTTCACTCAAAGGGATTTAAACTCACGCCAAAGGAGATGGTTAGAGTATACAACGGATTATGACGTAGACATACAATATCATGAAGGGAAAGCAAATGTAGTTGCAGACGCTCTAAGTCGTAAGACCAGTCATGGGCTGAATACTCTGATAGTGGCTGGTGAGTTATGTAGAGAGATGAGGAAAATGAATCTAGAAGTGGTACAATGGGGAGTGCCAACATTCATACTTGCAAATCTAAGTATTCAACCAACAATATTTGATGAGATAAGGGAAAATCAAGCAGGAGATGTAAAGTTGGATAGGATTCGTCAGAAAATAAAGCAAGGAAAAGCTACGGATTTCAAGATCCATGAAGATGGGATCGGAGTTTAAGATACAAAGGTCGTTGGTGTGTACCACAAAAATGTGAGGAGGTAAAAAGGAAGTTTATGGAAGAGGGTCACAATCACCATACTCAGTACACCCAGGAGGGGACGAGCTATATAAAGACTTGAAAAAGGTGTATTGGTGGCCTAGAATGAAGAATGAAGTTGCAGAATTTGTGGCAAAGTGTCTAATGTCAGAAAGTGAAGATTGAACACAAAAGACTGCAAGGAACTGTGCAATCATTGGAAATTCCTGGATGGAAATGAGAATGTATTTCAATGGACTTTGTGACTTGCCTCCCAAAGTCAAAGAGTGGAAACGACACCATTTGGGTAGTGGTGGATAGACTTACAAAATCTGCAATGTTTATACCAATGAAGGAGACCTGGAATATGGAACAACTTGCAAAAGCTTACATAAAAAATATGGTGAGGTTACACGGAGTTCCAAAAGATATTGTGTGTGATAGAGATTCTAGGTTTCTTTCAAGGTTTTGGAAGAGTGTACTGGAAAACTTTGGTACAACACTTAAGATGAGTACAGCTTTTCACCCTGCCACAGATGGGCAAACTGAGAGAACCATTCAAACCTTGAAAGACATGTTGAGGGCTTGTGTTAAAGATTTCTAAGGAGGATGGGAGGATATTTTGGACTTAATTGAATTTTTCTATAATAATAGCTACCATGCAAGTATTGGCATGGCTCCATTTGAGGCATTATATGGAAGGAAGTGTTGCAATCCAATCTGTTGGAACGACATAAGTGAAACAATGATTTTAGGGCCTCAAATGATCGAGGATACAGTTAAGAAGGTGAGGGAGATTCAAGCGGCGCAAGATCGCCAAAAGAGCTACGCGGATTTGAAGCGTAGAGTGGAGGAATTTGAGGTCGGTGACAAAGTATTGTTAAAGGTGTCGCCAATGAAAGGTGTAATGAGATTTGGAAATAAAGGAAAGCTTAGTAGCCCAAAGCATATTGGCCCATATGAGGTATTGCAAAGAATAGGCAAAGTACTTTATAGGTTGGCCTTACTTGTGGAGCTAAGTAAAGTGCATGATGTATTTCATGTATCTTAGTTAAGAAGGTATATCCCTGATAAGTCACATGTGCTACAACCTGAAACTATTGAGTTAGATCAAAGCTTAACTTATGAGGAAAGACCTCTCAAGATCCTCGACAGTAAAGTGTGTAGTACACGCAATAAGGAAGTTAAGATTGTTAAAGTGCTATGGTCTAACCAAGAGTATGAGGAAGCAACTTGGGAAGCTGAGCATGAGATGAGAAAGAAGTATCCCGAGTTTTTTAAGGTATGGTGAGTTACGGGGATGTAACTCGTGCTCTTTAAGGGGGTAGAATGCGGTAGAATTTCGCGCTTTTTCCCTATATTTTCAGTTATATTTTTGTGCTTTTTGCACATTTTTTTACGGTTATTTTGAGTAATTTTGATCTCAAAGAGATGTTAAAGGCAAAAGTATGACAAAAGAGTACAACAATATTATACAAAGTGTGGAAAAAGTTTGATTTTCGTTGCCCAAGTTTCGGGACAAAACTTCTTTTAAGGGGGGTAGACTGTAATACCCCGTATTTTTATACGTATTTTAATTTAAATAAGTATTTCTTAAAGTATTTAAATAATTCGAAATGAATTATTTATGATTTTTATTAACTTAAAAAGAATTAGTTTTCATTAAAGGTTTTTATTTAATTATTTAATAATCTTGAAAATATTTTATTTTATGATTTAAAAATATTGAGGCATATTATTTTATAAAAAGATAAATTTTAAAGTCAATAGTATTTAAGGAAAGTCAAAATACTAGTTTGACAAGGAAAGGGATCATTAAGGGTAGTAAAGGAATTTTAAGTAGGATGGATTTTAAGAGGGCGTATAAATACCTAGCATATGCCTAAGGTGGAGTGCACCCAAAGGTAAACTTTCTCTCTCCTCTTATTTTCTTTTCCCCTTAATTTTTCCCCTTCCCCTTTATTGATTTTTTTTTATTTTAATCACCACCACACACACCAGCCGGCCACTACACGCCACCACCAGCACTCGCCGGCAGCAGAAGCCACCAGACGGCGCGGCAGCAGCCAGCCTAGGTGGCTGTGTGCGCCAGTGGTGTTCGAAAAAAAAATTAAAATTATTTCTGTTTTTGTTTTTTAATTCAATCTAACTTTAATCTAATTATTGTTTTTGGGTTTTGTGATGATTTAAGGATGTTTAATAATAAGTATTTTGTATATTAATTTTCAGATTTGGTTTTGAATTAAAAAGCCCCAAATTGAAAACCCTAGGTTTCTAAATTAATGTATATTGATGGGATTTGATTGTGGTTGACTAAACTATTGAAATTAATGTTTTTAAACTAAATTGCAGCAATTTTATAAGTTTTAATAATACTGGAATTTTTACATACAAGCTATAATTATGTTTCTTGAAAGGATTTTTTGTTACCCATTAATTGGGAATAAAAGTAAGGGTTTTAAATTAAATTTCATATTATTTTAGAGGGTTTATGAGTGATTTAAAGAGAGTATATATTGCTGGAAATTTGTGTGAAAGAGGTATTAATACTTCTTTATAATTTTGGTTTGTAGGAGACTTTCAAGAGAGTGATTTTATTTAGCCGTGGCGATTTTGAGATCATATTCAAGGTACGTTCGCGTACTTAGTATTATTTGAATATGTAGAAGCATGCATGCTAGGCTTTGTGTAATTAATTCCAAGTAGTATCATGATAGGTGTTGGTTGGAATTGTTGATTTGGGTTGATATTGGTGATTGAATTGTGGTGTATAAATTATTTATGGTGAATTGGTGATTGGAATTAATTATATTGGCATGTTGGATATGAACCACACTTTTATTATTGACATGATAAAGAGCATGTTAAATTAAACTAAGTGTTTAATTTGGTTTCGAATATTGAAAAGGAAATTTATTATGGTTCATATAATTTTTATTGATGTTTTAAGCATGGGAATTGAACTATTTAAGTGTCTTAGTACACAGGAATAAATTATATTGCGATGCTTATATGCACTTAAGGTGTTTCTAACACCGAGGGATAAGATTTGCGGCGCATTATGCGTTTAAGGTGTTTTTGACACTGAGGTAGATTAAAAAGGGTTCAACTATTAAACTTATGTGGTCACTAATTATTCAATAATTAAATTGGTATGTTTGATTGCTTGAATGAATGATAATGTTTGATTGTGTTATGGTTTGAGAGTCATCACCGAGTCTAATAATACAAAAGTGAAAAAATTACACACCAAAACTCTTAGAACGTATATACCTTGTATATGAACATATGGGGGGAGATATGGGGTTTTATATTTAACCATGACTTCTACTGGGAGTACAGGACGCTGTATTTTCCTTTTTATTATTATTATGCGCAGCATGTCTAGTCACTTCATGTGACATTTGCCTACCCGGTTAGCTCCCGGTGTAGTTTACCTCAATTTGAGGCGGGAATTTGGTTGGAAACCCGTTCGATGTATGATCAAAAATTAAAAGAACATTGGTATTTGTCTAGTTAGGTGTTGAATGTTTTGTATGCTTGTAAACAGGTGCAACACGGTAAGTTGTGTGACGATAGGATGAAAGCATGTTAGTGTGTTTTATTACGCTTATGTACTCAGCTCATTGTGTGTTTGTTTGGCCTTGTCTTTACCTTGGCCCTACAACGACCCATTTCTAATGGCAAGTAGTGGGGACAAGTAGAGAAAATCTTTTCAGGTGATTAAACATTTTCATGAAGGGCATGAGTGAAGAGCGAATCATGCTTATTTCTCATATGTTGTGTTTTAGTTGCTTTGAATATTATTTATTTTATTATGATCATGAGACTAACGTAAAGGTTTTAAATATTGATTGGGTTTTAAGGGCCTACAATGGTTCCAAGTTGTAGGTTGACTTTGTTTGACTTAGTTTGACTTTTACTTTCATTTGGTTGACTTTTTAAGTTGACTTGTTTTTAAATGGTTTTAAAAGTAGTCTTCTGCTGTGTGTTAGTCTTTGATATTTGCCTTAGCCGTTTTCACGGTGGCGGTAATGTTTTAGATTTTCCTATTTCGTATTTTAAAAAGGCAAAATAGTTATTTTAACGGAAAGGAATTTCTAAGCTGTTACAGAGGAGGACATGCGGCAGCTTCGATTTGTGATTTTAAATAATAACTAGCCTTTTGGTCCGTTCGATACACAGGTTATTACTTAGGTTATTTTTATATGTATGTATGTATGTTTTTATTTTCAATAGTTGGAACTTTTGATATAAAATACAAAGTAATTGTTTCATGACCATTGAGATGAATGAAGTTCACTGCTAAAACTTAAAAGAAAAAAAAGAGTGATGAGGGTGGAACTGTGGAAGAAGATGAAGGTATTTAGTTAGGTTTATATGCATGAATATTGTGGGATATATAATGACATTAGTTTACGTTATATTTTAAGTTTAAGAGATGAAAAGACTATTTTTTATTATACTTCATATGTATATATATTTAATGTGTACTAATTAGTTCAACTTTGTTTTATTATGGTAGAAATGAAACACTTTATTTTCTTACTTAAATTTGCAAGTTACGTACGGAATGCATAAAGATTTTAACATTATATAATATATTTATTTTAATATACTTTCTCCGTTTTTTTAGTTGACACTGTTTGACTTTTCCACTATTCACATACTACACTTTTACTCGCTTTTGTGATTTATAGATACGATAAAATATAGTCATATGGGAACTTGTTTGAATCGTCTCGATGTATATTTTGTTAATAACCACTTTTTATAATTTTACAATGTTGATAATTAGAGATATAAATCGCTAGATACATGTGTTGGCAAGCATGATAATAGAAAGGTGTCAACTAAAAAAAATAACAAAGGAAGTATTAAAAAGAGAATACAAAAAAGGAAAGATTAAGAGAGGTGCATGTGGCATATGAGTGATTTGTGATGACATGTGACATATGAATGATTTGTGGTTTATATTTTTAAATACTCCCTCCGTCTCAGAATACCTAAGACGTTAGACTTTTTTCACTAAGTATAGATATGCCGATTGTAAGAGATAGATGAGGAGAGACAATTCCTAATACGGAGTAAAACTATTGTGTTGTTTGGGCCTAATTTAGTTTCACCTAACTCTACCATATAACTATTGCTTATTTGACCCAAACATTTCACATCCGTATGAATCCGCTTTAAACCAATTAACCTGTTTCAACCCGCTATTCCGCTAAACTGTCAACCCGACCCCAAACTAAATTGCAGATCCAAATTTCATTTACATACCTTCTCCCCTCCCTAAAAGTTAGACTTTGGACATTTCACAGCCAATACATTTCAACAAGAAAAAAGTAAAAAGGTCAAAATGAGACGGCAAACTGAAGTTTCCAACATGATTACCCTTCCTTTATTTCTTTTCACATAATTTAAGGTCAAAACAACAACTTTCCTTTCCTTTTTTCAACACAACAAATTACACCAACAACAAAATCAAAACCAATACATAACCCATCATACTCACATTATACACAAAGCTAGCATTCTTCTTCTCTGTTTTCCTCTTTCATGCAACACAAAATATGGGGAACATCTGTACATGCCTTTCCTACGAAGACATACACAACAAAAAACAAAACCCAAAACGCCAATACAATCGATCAACCTCCGCCCCTGCCACCACCACCAGCAACAGCAACCGTTGGTCGAGGATTCGATCGTCAAGACGAGAAAATTTTAAGTTTGATGACCCTGTTCTTCATCAACAAGCTCTTGCCGCTGCTGCAATCATTCTAGAGCAGCAGCGGCAAGAGCAGCGTAATGGCGAGACGGGTTTATCATTTGACCGATCAACCTCTTTAAGATACCCTGGTAGTTCTAAACACAATAATTGTAATAATAAAAATGGTGGTATTACTTTGCCTCGTAGTTCTAGTACTCGTGCTCGTTCTCTTACTGACCCTCTTCTTCAACCTCATCAGCTTCTTAATCAGGTATGTTTGTTTTATTTTTATTAAATTATCATTAATTTTGATCTTGGTTGTTTTTTTTTTATTTAATTATAGGAAATGTAATATTTGTGTGTTCTTTTTATATGATCTTTTGATTAAGACGTAAGTTAAAATATAATGTTAATTGAAACTTTCAAAATTTGTTTGTTTTCGTGTTTGTTTCTTGTTATTAAACAAAATCCGGTCAATAGTCAATCACCTTGGTATTACAATGGGATTACACCGCCGACTATGTTTAGTTGGTATAGTCTTAGGGTGGTCGATCGAATCATGTTTACATCATTGTACTTTTTGAGTCTCGTGACTCCTAAAAGATTACTCGGATACTACCTATGATTAACTCTTGTTACTATTATGATTATAAAAATACGAAGTAGTTATCATGTTGTTGGTGGCGAAATTATACAGTATTAGTTTAATTAATTACTACTGTCAAGAAAGAGTAGTTTAGGGGAAACAGGAAGAGAATGATAATTAATGTTACTTAAATGGCGGATCAAGTTTGGTATGTCTGAAACCAGTTTAGCAGATTCAGCTGCCACCCTTACTTCGAAATTGCCTACCCTTTAAATTGCAAAATATAAAAAAATATAAATGAAAAAAAAAAAATTGTAAAAAATAATTTTTGGAACCCTCTTACCCCTTTCCTTTTATTCACCTAATTGTTTGTTATGTGTAGTTTGTTCATTTTCTACTTTTGGTCCAAGAATAATATGATGATGATAAATTTTTGACAATGATGTGTTTTTTTTTAAAGAAAAGAAAATGATGATAATGATGTTAAGTTGATAGCAATGTGAGCTTTTTATTGATATAGCTTTTTTATTAAATTACAATTGAAAAAATAAAGCTCGGTCGGCCGAATTAGAGAAAAAAGAAACCATAAAAAAGGCAGTTGAAAATCTGGAAAGTAGCTACATTAAGTGCAAAAGAGTGTACTAGTTTAAATGGTCCCAACTTCTAACTGTAAGACTATAGTCCAGGTGCTTGGTTAATCCTTTATTTTTATATGGCGGATCTAAGTTCAAGGGTTGCATGTGGTGGCTTGGTGATACTAGTTTATTAATGTGATCAGTTGAGGGATGTTTCATTGGTTTTTTTTTCATTGTTTTAAGGGTGGTGGGGGTCGAGCCACGGGGCGGTAGGGGGGACCGATCAGGAGCTAATTATTTCCGTCTTATGCTGTTTATTGTTTGTTTACTTGTGTATAGATCAGAGTGGATGTGGTTTGATGAAGTTATTTATAGATTAATTAATGATATAATGTACAAGAATGAAAAATATTTCAGTATTAACATATTTTCGACTTTGTTTGTTTCCCATATATAAGAACTGAACTCGGATCTTTAGTTAATTTGCTTGTTTTAGTGATATGATGCGCTCAGTTCTAACTATTAACATGTATGAATGGACAAAGAACTCAAGGATTGGATTGGATTGGGATTGGAGATCGATTTCAATTATGATTAGTAAGAAAATAGTATCAGGAAATATAAATTCGGATGAGGGGTAGTAAATTTAGACAAGGGCAAATAAGTTTTGATTATGGTTTTTCAATTGAAAATAATGAAGCCTTATATTGGATCGATTTATGTATATGGCAGGATGCAGGACTTGATGGCTTGGAAACTAATAAATTTGTGCTTGTCCACGGAGGTGGTTTTGGTGCTTGGTGTTGGTATAAGACCATTGCGCTACTGGAAGAAGGTGGTTATAAGGTTACAGCTATAGACTTGACTGGTTCTGGAATTCATTCATCGGATACCAATGGCATTACAAGTCTTGCACAATATGTGAAGCCACTTACTGACTTTCTCGAGAAACTTGCTGATGGAGAAAAGGTTCGTTCTTTATTCGATGTACTTTCTATTGATGTCGCTAAACTTCAATTCTAAGTAGATTTGGTTGATGTTGGCCTGGGTGTATTAAATTGTCTATGACGTTTGCAGTTTACTTATCGGTCACATTTTTCATGTGTCTCGTTTCAATTGAACACTGAGTAAGCCAGGAAATGGACAGGGTAGATGCATTTGCCAAAAGATCCTTAATTGCTCTTGTATACTTTGATTAACATTAACCTTCCATACCGAGTTGCTTATATTTTTTCAATTTTTATTCTCTTGTTCTGTAATGCAGGTGATTTTGGTAGGACATGATTTTGGTGGTGCTTGCATATCATATGCCATGGAATTGTTTCCATCTAAAGTGTCAAAAGCTGTTTTCATTGCTGCAACAATGTTGAATAATGGCCAAAGTGCTCTTGATATCTTCTCACAGCAGGTTTGCTTCTAATTTCTTTGCATCTTTTTCACTAGGAAGCAAACATTTGCCACTTAGGTGATATAATATACTCCCTCCGTCCCCAATTGTATGCCCCATAGAAATATTTCACTTTATTAAGTTTTGGTTGAGTGGAATTGATGAGAGAGAAAAGTGGTAGGACCTTAAATATTTTTGTGAGAATTAAGCAGTGGTCCCTATGTACATTAATTGTATGGAGTAGACCTTTCAATTCGGGTCAACGGGTCGGGTTTGGGTCAAATTTCGGGTTGTTTGGGTCGTTTGGTTCGAGTGGTTTGGATTGCTTGGATCTAATCCTGGGCACCGTGCCGTGCCGGGCCGCCGCGCGCCGTGCCTGGCGGGCCGCGGGCTGGTTCGTGCCGTGCCGGTCGTGCCGGCGGGCCTAGGATTTCGTGCCGTGCCGTGCCGGTCATTTTCACAGGCCAGCCCACGGCACGGCACGGCCCTCGTGCCTGGCGGGCTCGTGCCGTGCCGGCCACGTGCCGGGCTGCGGGCTGGCCTGCGCGGGCTGGTGCAGTTTTCATTTTTTTTTTTTTTTTTTTTTTTTAATGACAACATTATTAATTAATAAGTTTATAATGTATATAAGTTATAAAATTATAATTATAAGTTTTATAAGGTAACTTATAAGTTTATAACTTATAAGTTATAAGTTATTAAGTTATGAATTTTATAATTATAAGTTGAATATTTATGTTTTATAATTTGTATATTCAATATTTATATTTATATATTTACTTTATACTATTACTTTAAAATTTAATGTTTATGATTTATTAGTAATTGGTATAATTTTATTTTTTTTAATATGAATTTACAAATTGTAACAAAACGGGGAAAAAAGGCAAATTGGACTTTGGATGTGAATAATGCGTACTTTATATTATTATTACTTGAGTTGAGAAAATTGTACAATGATAACAATGATAAAAATCATACAATGATGGTATTAAACAAAAATTGGAAAATGATAAAATTGATATTTTTAAAATCGTACAATATACAATAATTGTCTATTCTTCTTCTCCTTCTTCTTGCTCGTCTTCGTCTTCGTCTTCGTCTTCGTCTTCGTCTTCGCCTTCGCCTTCAAGGTCATCGGCTAGTTGCATAGATTGGGAACTAGCCGAACCCGAACCGGAAGCGGAGGTTCCTTCTTCGTTGTCGTTGTGGTCGTAAGAACGGTCTTGTGAGCGATTTTCCGCATCCAACCAATCTTTGAAACACACGCACATTTCTAGTGTTTCGGGTTTTAGACTTGTTCTTCTATCGTCTAAAACCCTTCCAGATGCGCTGAAAGCTCGTTCGGAGGCGACGAAAGAAACTTGGATAGCAAGAATGTCTCGTGCCATTGCCGCCAAAGTTGGATGCTTCGAGCTTTGTTGTTTCCACCATGCAAGGAGGTCGAGGCTGTTTATCTCATCGTCGTCCATGCCTTTGGTGAAGTCGTAACTCAGGTACATCTGCAACTCCGAGACGTCGCTTTGCGTTCTCCTGATTGATGAATCACCTGAAAACCTTGAAATCAAGTTAGTAGCTTGTGAAAATAAATGTTTGGCCTTCTTACTTACGTTTTTGGATGGTTGAGAAGGCCCTGAGCGAGGAACGGTGCCATATTTGGCTTCATAGACTCTATATAAAGCAAAAAACTGATCCTTCACATTAGTCTTATAGTTTTCTACATCATCGTCAAGAAACATGCATTGAAAGTAAATGTCAACTAACATAAATGTGTTTTCATACTTTTGCCTAGGATCTAATATGGAAGCAAAAATATAAATCAAAGGAATCTGACTATAATATTTACGCCACTTTTTTTCCATTGCTGGAAGATACTGATCATAATCACTTTGATCGCGATGATCAGCGAAAAGTTGGGCGAGTAAGCATGCATTAGAAAGAAAGTTTTGAGCACAAGGATTGTAAACAGTAGAAAAACAATACGTCATGTTATATAATAACTGTAAAAATTGCATATATCTTTCACAGTTATTCCAATCATCATCATACAAAGCATTTTGTGGAAATTTTTGGTTGTAAAATAATGTTAACGGGCCCTTGTACTCAATTGCCTTTGTTAACATGTCATAGGTGGAATTCCACCTAGTTGGGCAATCGGTTCTAATTTTTATTACCCTTATCTTTTGTTGTTTTAGAAAACTCTTCCATTCTTGGTATCTCATGTTAGAGCTATTAATAGACATAATAGCATCTCTGATTTTGCTGTAGTATGGGCCAATTGCCCGAACTCCATTCTGTACACATAAGTTAAGTACATGGCAAACACATCTAGTATGAAGAGCTTCACCGTCTAATAGTACATCGGTTAAGTTTTGTTTGATAAGATTAGCTGTGTATGTCATAGAGGTTGCATTATCAAAAGTCATAGACATCATTTTATCTCGAAGGTTGTATTCGTCTATTGCTTGCATTAAATGGTGAGCAATGTTAATGCCGGTGTGTGGGTATTCCAGCATTTTGAAATGTATTATTCTTTTTTGTAACATCCATTGATCATCTACCCAATGGCAAGTCACACATAAATAGTGATATTTATAACCACTATCCCAAGAATCGGCTGTTAAAGATACTCTACAGTTAAGGTTACTCAATTCGGCTTGTAACCGGACTTTGTACTCTAGGAAATTTTTCATTGCGGCGGAACGAACGGTTTTCCTAGAGATTCTTTTATGTTGGGGTTGTAGTGCTTTGTTAATGTAGGTGTTGAATGCGTCACTTTCCGAGAAAAGAAAAGGTTGTTCGGCGTGTACTATCATTTTTCCTAGTTCATCCCTATCCCTCTCATAGTTGTATGTAAAGCCGTATGGATGGAATTGGGAAATTTTGGGCTGGGTTGGATCACTAGCTGGTTTTGCACAAGCTTTCATGTGTCTAGATAAGTGTCCCGTCCCGTTTTTGGTAACTGCCGTGAATACACTATTACATGTTTTACATTTTGCCCATTGTTCACCATCTTTACTTAGGACAAAATAACGCCATACCTCACTCCTTCGGTTTTTCAAAAGTAGCATCTCAGTTTCGGTTAACCATTCATGATGTGTGTGATGGTTAGTAGGGGGACTAGTGGGAGTGGCAGTAGAAGGGGTAGAACCGGAGGGAATTCGGGTACTTTCTTGGCTACCTTGGCTAGAACAATAGTTTTGTTGATTACCGATATAATTAGGTGGAAATTGGTATGGTGGTAGTGGAAATTGGTTTAGTGGTGGTGCTGGAAATCCCGACGTATTATATGGCTCATAGCCCGGGGGGAAGTAAATGGGGTCATTGGTTTGACTCGTAATTTGGGGGCTCGTTGTATTTGGTGGTTCCCTAGAACTACTACTACGGATAAGTCGGCCTTTCCCCCTAGACCTAGATGATGGGTTGTTCGATGCCATAATTAACAATTAATTTTTTAATAAAAAGTGGTTAACTATAATAATAATAATTAATAACAACAATTTTAACAATAAAAATATCAATAATAATAATTAATAACAACAACTATAACAATAACAATAACAACAAAAATAAATAATAACAACAATTGTAACAATAATAATAATTAATAACAACAATTATAACAACAACAATAACAATTAACAACAATAATAATTAAACAAGATTATTCTAATAATAACAATAAAACAATAATAAATTTAAGATTAGTTTAGATCTTACAACCGTGCTTCAACGCTCCACTAATTACGATTACGAACTTTTTAATTTTTTCCGATATTAGGAAAATAATTAGAGAATTTAAGAGAATAATTAGAGAATTTAAGAAAATAAGGATTATTAGAGATTTAGAGAATATAAGAGATAAGAAGAAGAGATTGTGATTTTGTGATTTGGGAATGAAATGGAGGTGAGTATTTATAGAATTTTTGGCAAAAAACTAGCCGTTTATAGCCGTTTAACTAGCCGTTGGCCCGCGGGCCGTGCCTGCGGGCCAGCACGGCGGGCCATGCCCGTGCTCGTGCCGGGTCGTGCCTGGGAATTCTCCACCGTGTCCGTGGCACGGCTCGTGGCACGGAAGTCGAACTTCGTGCCGTGCCGTGCTTGACTTCGGGCCGTGTCGGGCTGCTCCGAACGGCGGGCCGTGCCGTGCGGCACGCGGGCCAACCCGGCCCGTGCCCAGGTTTACTTGGATCATTAAAAATTATGATAAATGGGTCAAATCGGGTCTCTTTCAAGTCATTTGGGTCGGGTCGGATTCGGGTTCTCTCTTAGTAAAACAGGTTTGGAATCGGGTCGGGTCAGGAATTGACAGGTCTAGTATGGAGCAATCTTAGTTCACAAAATTTCGTGGAAATCCATTAGATGTTCTTGTGCTTTGACAAGACACAAGAGGCCTTTTCCATGTTTTATCTATTGGCATAGTGTACAGAATTACGGAGTACATCAATAACTTCTAAAAAATCCTAGGCCGCATATTGTTTTCTAATTATATTATTGTTGTTTGCATCAGGAAGAGGCCAAGGATTTAATGAAGCAGGCACAAGTTTTCCTTTATGCAAATGGAAACAATAATCCTCCAACTGCTATTGATCTTGACAAGTCATTGCTGAAGGAGTTGCTATTTAATCAAAGCCCGTCCAAGGTAAATTTTATTCCACTCTTGATTTTGAAATTTTAATGCCATTGCTGGTTTCAAAATTTCACACATAGTTATAATGAAATGTATGATAAAAAAATGTAATATTAATATCTTCCCAAGCGATCACATGTCAGAACCATATTGTTTGTTGCTGTTCATACAACCAAACTAATTCTGATTAACCTTATAGGTAACTTAATCCAACACTATTTGGCGGTTTGAACAACTTTTTCCTTGTTTCTTCTGGTGTTATCTTCTTCTCGTTCATATTACCAAGTTAATTCGGATTAATCATAAGACTGTGCCTTCTTTTCCTTTTTTGTTCTCGGTTTTCTGTTATCTAATTTGTGTAAAGGAAGGTTGGTTATGAAATTCAGTCATGGTTATCCTTTTCTTCAGCGATCTTGATTAGTTGTAAGAGTTTAGGGAGCAACGAAGGAATGACCAATAATGCATGACACTAAGTGATAAGTTGCTGATTTGTAAATCTCTTAACATGGTGTAGTAAAATGAACAAATTCTGAAAGAAAAGGAATTTATCTTGTGTTGTTCATTTAACATCAGTCATACCTCTCTCACTGATCCGGTTATTTTCTTGGTACAGGATGTTGCACTGGCATCTGTGTCAATGAGGCCAATACCATTTGCACCTGTTTTAGAAAAGCTGTCTCTCACAGATAAGAACTACGGTTCTGTACGACGCTTTTACATAGAAACTACAGAAGATAATGCAATAGCTCTCGCTTCACAAGAACACATGACAAAGGCAGCCCCTCCTGAACAAGTCTTGCGTCTCAAAGGTGCAGATCATTCACCCTTCTTTTCGAAACCACAAGCTTTACACAGACTCTTGATTGAGGTCTCAAAGGTTCCTTAAGTTTGTAACTACTTTCTGCCCTATGCTAATTTGAAGTGACATTTTGTTAATGCCATTGCCCTTTTAGCACATGAATACAAGTAGATGCGGTGTTCAAATTGTATAGGTGGTTATTCCGAGAGCTTATAATGTAGTTTTACGTCTCTAAACTTTTGTTGATGCAATCCTTGACAAATTTTGAGTATTTTGGCCAAGGTTATTAGCACCAACTACTACTAGGTTCAATGTTGAAATGAGTAGAGATGACAAGTTAAATTTGAAAATCTTTGTGAATAATTTAATAACATCCGTATCGATTTTCCCATGGCTTGAATTACAATCTCCTTCATCAACTCATTACAACCGTGGCGGTGGCGTCCAGCCCAGGCGCCAGCCAACTGGTGGCGGCGTCTGCATCTGGCGCCACCACCGCCGGCTGGGCGTCCAGCCAGGGCGCCCCACCGCGTTCACGGCGGTTTTCCCCTTTTTTTTTTTTTTTAAAACAAAATCTACCTTTCCTCCTTGGGACATCCTTCCCTCCGCCGCCGCCGCCACTTCCTTGCCTTGCCGCCTCGACATTGCCGTTATTTTGAATTTTTTTTTTTTTAGAGAGGTTGAAAGAAGATGAGCAATGAGAGTGTGAGTGATGAGAGTGTGAGTGATGAGAGTGTGAGTGTTTTTTTTTTTAAGGTCAAGGGCAATTTTGGGAAACCAAGTGAATTTTGTGGGCTTTATGTAGTAATTTGTGGGCGATGTTTAACAAATCCCAAAAGATAATGGTGGTGGTGTCTGAAAACTTGTTTAGGACTCACATCTGAGCTACTCAGACATTTAAGTTCAACCCATACAATTATAAATCTGATCTTAAATGAAGGCCTTGTTTGGCAAATGGACAAATGACTGTTGGCTATTGGCGGTTGGCTGGTTCACTTGGCTTGTTTGACCAGCTGGAATATTTTGTTTGTATTGGCTTTTAAAATTGGCTATTTTAGCAAGTTGTTTATTAAAGTATTTGGTAAATTTAGTTGGTGACTGTTGTCTGTTTATAATTTGTGGGCCAACTAGCCAAAAGCCAACCAAAAAAAGCTACTCATAGCAGCTTTTTCATTTTGGCTTAAAAGCCGGCTTTTTCGTTAAATGAATAGCTAATTATCAAACACTTTTTTTGGTTGTTTGACCACATAAAAAAGCCAAAGGCCAAAAGCTAACCAAAAGGCACCAAAAAGCCATTTACCAAACATGGCTGGAGTCATTTCAATTCGCGAACCATGCTCATTTTTCCTCCCCGGCCTTCAGCTCCTAGTTGCAGAAATGGAAATCATTTTCCAGACGCAGTAAAACACAGAATTCTCAAACGCAAATGAAATCATAACATGCATATTAATCAATATAAACAAGCATAAAAATAAAAACCACTAACAAGTAACAACGATGTAATAGGTATGTATTATTCGTCGAAGCCCACGTACAACATAGAACATTTTCAACTATATAAGCAATTGCATTGTAGAATAGAATAAAATGGGCTGTCCCATTCAAGAAATTACAAATTCATGTATTATTAGCATATTACTTGCAAGCCTTCAACGAATGTTTGATGAATTTCACTTTTATAGAATTGCTCAGTTCTATCAATTTGTCATGTCCATAGATATAAATCGAAGAGTATTTGACAACATTAGTAAGCAACTAAAGAGTATGATGAGATTCATACCTCTATAAACAAGTTTTTCTTTTAATTACAGTATAATTTTAGATCAGTTGTCTTTAAAACCTTGGTACATTATAGAGGACTAACAGCACATGAAGTCTGTACCTAAGATCACTTTTCGAGAGGCAGTAGCCCGTGCCGTTTACTTACATAACATTTTTATTGAGATGTACTAATCTTGATAAAGATCCTTCGGGGATAGGGGATGGGTTAATAACTCTATAACCCTAAAAATTCGTCATTGATAACTAGAAAAATTACTCTACAACTAACAGATTATTTTCCTCTAACCCTTCGCCAATAGTTGGGAACTCTGATGAAATCTTCCACTCCCCATCGACTAAAAACTTGATTTCATACCTATTCACCATGTAAAAGAATTAGCATTACCAAGAATTTGTTTCCTGTTTACTTGCCAGACAAGAATTTAGAATAACAGAACTTCATAGTCGAGATAATAGGTGGGTATGAAACAATGGTAAAAAAAAAGAATCATACCGCCCAGAACGGAGCAACAGGTTCGTGGAAAACTTTGTATATGAACCTGTGTACTCTGGAGATAGGTGTTCTCCTTGACTCCATCCATCAAAACTACCCATGATTTGCACACTCTGAAAACAGGTTATAGTTATAAATGCACTAGCACTCCAGGGTATTGGCAAGCTGAATTTTAGATAGATAAGTAGAAGCAGTTGTGATTAAGATGTGAGTCTAATTAGCAATTGACAACAACGATCAACAAAGCAAGAACAGAAAGCAACCAACAAAAGAAAATAAACAAATAAGGAGACAGAGTTACTGTGGAAAACCCGAGAACCAGGAGAAAAACCCACACTTGCACTATGGAGTTATATTGATGATGAACAATATATAATGGTTTATGAACATTCAATGCTCTCTCTCACTCTCCCAAAACCTATCTTCAACCCTAAGAGTGTTTAAATAAAGTGGATATGAGCATGTCACACAAAGTGGCTGTAAAGCACTTTTTATATTAAGGGTTTAATGAAGCATTAATAAAAGCGGAGATTTGTCACATGTTTTGAAAGTGGACCAACATGTATGCTAGGTAACACACAAGCAACAAGAACCTAAACTCGAATTTGAAATGCTAAACCCACGTGTCACTACTGACATAAACATGTTGCCCCCGACATGGATGTGCCATCTGAGGCATGGACGTGTCATCTTGGGTCCAGCATCCACTAGCTTTGATCTCGCCAGGACAACCCAACATGGACATGCTACTTCAAGGCATGAACATATCCCCTCCTTTAGCTTCTCCTTTAGCTTTTTCAAGCTCACGTACTCACATGCATAGCCTTCGTATGCCTCCATACACACCTTGAACCATCTCCACACACTCCCAAACCTAACAGCGGTAACCAATGCAATGAACTATCTTAAAAATTAAGAGCTTCAACCACATTACCAAGAAAGATTACACAATTAGAAAAGACCTCCATTTAGCATTGTGTCCAACATAATTGGAGATAATAAACGCATGGAATTTGAGTAAGCATTATGATGATTGTAGAAAGGTGATGGCACAACAATGGCAGGTGGTGTTGTGGCCCGAATCACGATACATTTTGCTAATTTAGTCTTGCCACAATTACCAATTTGGATTTAAACAATTAAACTTTTAAGAAAAAATACATAAAATATAAAACTGAATTTTGATAGTCGCCCCCCCCCCCCCCCCCCCCTCTTTTCCCCCTCTCCTTCCGCCCCTAGGCACAATTCATTTTGTTCAAAAACTAAATTTAAGATCAAAACATAAAAACCACAATAAAAAAAAAACAATGAGAATGTAAATTTTGGATGAGCAATGTGATCTCAAACCTTTCAAAGTATGAAAATAAAATTAGCCCCATCTTAAAAAGACACTAAAAAGGGAAACCAGCTGAGTGCAACATAATTTTTCCATTCTTACCTCAGCCATACCAATCCAAAATACTGGCACCTCCCTGGACTGTGCAGCTGCCACATCCTTTATCTGGTCCTGAAACTTCAGTTGAACAGCTGGAAAGGGAGACAACAATATTATGAATTTCTGAAGTTCCTGTTCTTAGTTCTAGAGATGGACAAAGTATCAAGATGTTAAAAGTAACGACTATTTGAAGTTGAAACATTTGTATTTCGAATTGCGTCTCATGATCCCCTCCAACACCCACCCCCCCGGGGTAATTGGCAGATAAAAAATTAAGGGAATGTTAGGTACGGAGTGTACTAACCAAAGACATATCTAATACCTCTCATACAAGAATGATGGTTCCATTTACAACATTATATTACAGGCTTACAGCATAATGAGCGAAATCCTTAAAATAAAAAATAAAAAAAAAACCTCTGTACTACCAACGATAGCTCACCTTCTCACTTCACTATAGGTAGGGAGATGATAGACAGTGGATTAAAGGTATGATATGGCATGAATTGCTACCATGAAAACAGTGGAAAATTTTCAAGCACTACAAGGAACACATCTTCATAAATCCAACATCCAGGAGCAACCCCAAAGAGAATAAAAGGGAAGTGTACCTTCTAACCGTGCAACTAGATGGGAGTGGATGTATCTTCCATTAATCTTCCTTGAACCTTCTGGAATGCCAGCTTTTTCTATTTCATTTGCCAGAGCAACAAGTGCCTGTATATTACATATACAAATGTTTATGGTCACAAAAGCAAAATTATAAAAATAATGTGATAGCAGCTATATTTAAACATCATTTTGTAGAGACGAATAAGAAAAAAATCAAAATTAGCACCTATGAGAATAATTCATGAAAACAACAAGTGCTTGTTTGTTATTGTTTATTGTTTTCAATTTCCAATTTTTTAACTAAACACAAATATATGGAAACCAAAAGTAATTTCCACATTTATGTTGTCAATGATTAGAAGTATGACTAACGTTAAGTTCAAAATACAACTTATATAATATCACCTTCAAAATCTAAAAACCAAAAACTGGAAACTGGTAATGATACCGAATGAGCCAGCTAAAAATATGAATTTCAAATTTCAAATCCAATACATCTGCATAGATCATTTTATAAAGTAAATAGAAAAAGAGAAAAAAGCATATGCATATCCTCTGCCCAATAAGAAAGCATTTTTCAAATAGTACCTGAATTTCTAGTTCCAGGACAGCAAGTTCACTCTTGAAATTAACCAAAGCATCTTCTCTCTCCTGCACCTATAAATCAAAACAGAATCAGCATGAACCCTAAAAAAATTCAACTAAGCAACAGCAACACTCGCTACATTCTGAGGGAAAGAAAGACCTCCACACATTCAGATGGCTAGCTATAGTACTCCTAGAAATTTGGCAAAGATCCAGGACGAGTCATATATGCTCACAAAGAATTTGGTGCAATGTTCCTCCACACCAAAGAAATAATAATCTACATAGTGATTCAAGAGAGAAAAACATAGAATTCATAAATCGCTTAACATATTGCTCTGAAAGACTAGATGATGACAAATATTCCAGAATTTAAGTTACTAAGCTCAAAGCAATAATTCTTTTAACTTTTACTCCGTAACAATTAAGATAATTTCTAAGTCTCAGTCTCCGATCTGGAACAATGTTGTTGTCCATTGTACAGGATTTTAAGAAAAGACACCCAACTTATTCTATTGATTCATTGTTTATGTGGGTACAAGCGTACAACAAATTCATTCATATCTATCAGAAATAATAGAGACCTTATATAAGAGGTTGTGAAAGGGTGCACCATAATAAAGAAAATTGCTTGTTGACGTCCTGGATTTTGTTCACAAAGATTTAGTCACAATAGAATCAGTTTGTGTTGAATCAAATGCTCATAATTTATTAGATTGTGGAGCTGTTCGCAAAAGAATTTATTTTCTTAGAATAAAGCTTTCGCATTAAAAAGCATTTGGTTCCCACCCTAATTTACTTCTATTTCACACATTGGTTTGTAAAAGAGAGAGTAATCTTCCTAGCTTGAAATTAAGTTTACCAAGGGTAGAAAAGATTGTCTCCATTTGGCAAAGTAATGTCATATCTTCCATGATTCTACTGATCTACTCCATTGCTTAATAAACTACTTCTCTTCTCCCCTACATGGCTTCCACCCCATCTTCCCTTTTCCCTTCATCGTTGGCAAGTAGCGAAATAGAAATTCAAAAACTGCTTGATGTCGACATAGGTAATATCTGTAAACAGTGAGTTTCTGTATAATAAAATTTCCTCCGAACCAAATCCAGCCTATAGTAGACCTAAGTCCATCTATACATCTCATCAACCACTCTATAAAAAAGGTAGCAGGACACCGTAGAGCATACAACTTTCCTCCAATCCATAAACTATATCAAACACTCTCAGATCAACAACTACCTCACACTCCTCAGGACAATCTCCTCTCTAATGTCATTCCTAAATATACAAGATTAGTGTCTATTACGACTTTACTAATTCCCCAATAATCTAGTTTCCAAACATATATTACAGCTAGGGTGGGTATATAAATGTTATAAAAGAGGCTTGACAAAAACAATACTCACAGAAAAGTCTATTTTGAAATAATCATGAAGCACGTTGGAATGTATTTGACAAGCCAACATTATAACCCCGGAATTCACATCATTCGTATTTCATAGTATGCACATCTGAAGTTATACACTTTAGGTCCTCTAAATATGTGCTTTTAGCTTTAGGAATAAATTTTATAAAACTAATACTTTCTCCGGTTTTTATTTATTGCAACATGAGTGATTTCACGCTTGCAAACGCATTACTTTGGCTATTAATATCTTTAATTATACTGTTGTAAAAATTATAAAAAGTTAATATTTGACAAATAGATTTTGTGATGAATCTAACTAGATCTCACATGACTACATTTTACCTTACGGTTAAATCACAAAAATGGTAAAAGAAGATTATGTTAATAGTGTCAAATTCTTCATGGTGCAATAAAAGAAAAACAGAGGAAGTAGTTAACTTTACTTCATTTACAAATGCTTTCAAATAATTAATCATTTGGAACATATAGAAATTTAATCACCATAATGATGTCTATGAAACAACAAGAACTATATTGCTACAACATAGTTTGGAAATAGTAATTAAAGGAGTGAAGATAAATCAATCGAAGTGAAAACCTGCCGTTTCAGAAAGCGGTTGTGTTGATTGGCTTCACTCAACTTTTTAACCAGTTTTGATCTCTCAGAATCAGCAAGCAATGACTTCAGCTGCAAATATATACAAAAAATATGAATAAAAAAAATGTTATATGCACTCTTTTGGCTGTTTGACCACAATATCTGTTAATCAATAATTAGACAAATTAGCAGCGTGAAACCTAGAAACTTCAATAATCCCTTAGGTTTTTTACACCTTGATCTAGATGACCACTATAAATTTAATAAACAACTCCCTCCACCACCAAATAAAAATCTCATTTTCCTTTTGCAAATGTTTCAAGGAAGGAGAATTAAAAAGGTAATAAAAAATAAAAAGAAAATAAAAAATGTTGAGTTTAATTGATCAAAAGTAAATAAAAAAAATGTTGAGGTTGGTTGATTAAAGGTGAAGTGAGACTTATATTTAGGAACAAGGTTTTTGGGCAAAAAATGAGGCATTTATTTGGGGGTGGAGAGAATATTTGATGTTATTTTGGGTCCTTGTTCCTCATGTGCATAATTATTTGTTTAGGTCTTTATAGAATCCCCCCCCCCCCGGGGAAGTAAACGGAATTGAATTGAAGCATTGAATTATATACATAGTAACTTTATTTTAGAAAGCAACACACATGAATAACACATAAGATTTACTTAAGGAAAATTCCCAAACTTGAAAGAATACAATAAAAGATTTAATATTCATCTACCAATTCACTTTTTGACTTTCTATTATGCAAATTTTCCCCATTATACTCCCTCCATCCCACAAAACCTTACTCATTGTTTTTTGGGCACATAGATCTAGGAAAGATGTATATGATGGAACTTTGTTGAGAAAAAGTACAGATTCCAAATTACATTCGTGGGTATTCTTAGTATATATATGAATGGTGGGTAATTAGATCAATAACCAATCCAAATAAGAAATTGGGTAAGGTAATTGTTACAAACAAATGTTTGTGGGACGAAGGAAGTACATTATATAGTTACTTTACAATGGTCCAACTTTTGTGTCAGCAAAGATTGTAAGTTTTATAAATGTAGTCTAGCCAACATAATCTTACATATATAATCAACTTAACACATTAAATAACACGAGTAGTATTAAATTTTGTTATCACAGCGACAATGTTTTTTTTCCCCTTTTTCTATGCACCCTGACAATATTCAAAGCTTACCTCATTGCTACTAGGTGGCTTAGCAAGTCTCTCTTTGGCAGGATCTGCAGAAACTGTTTCATCATCATGGTATCCTGAAGATCCTGATGAGGACTGCTCTTTCAAGCCAACTGGTGTAGAATAAGTCCGCCACATGCTGTGAAGGGGTGAATGTTTCTCACTCGTAATTTGATGAACAAGGGTAAAGTTGTGAAAACGAGCTCCTAAGGTTTTGGATGCCACATTACAGCGAACACGATAAAAATTGTTCAAATTTGATTTAACTTTATTCCGGGATAGGCACAGCAGTGGCTCATCTGGGCAATACCTAATTTGCATGTGTAAGTAGAAAAATTACAAACTTTTTGATTGTGAAGAGAAACAGAAAAGAGTTAAGAGACCTCAGCAGCACCAATCATCAACATTTCAAAACTATCAAAGTTTTTCCTTTTCCTAACACGTTTTCTTCTTTCTGCCAAAGCTAAAATTTGATATCCAAACAGGAAATTCAAACAAAAAACTGACGCACTTTCTAGATAGATAAAGTTTTTAGTTGAATCAATAGATTTCAAAGATCACATCAAACATTTCTGATCAGCCCCATTTTCAGCCACAGGGTCAAGTATATTGATAGCACATAGACTAAAGGAGAAAGCTACCACTCCAAGCTAAAAGAGATCAGGCTACTAGCTATATTGCCTAAATATTAGGCCAAAAGACGAAGACAGAGTTTAATATATTACAAGGCTGATCAAAATATTGTGCACGGCTTTTGTTTTAAATATACCTTAATATCATTAGTATTAAAGTTCAAACATGGTGATTATTTATGTCATTTAGATATTGGCTCACAAGCCTGATTAGGGATAAGGCAGCGAAAACTAGATACCCCAAACCTGTTAACAAGCCAGCTGAATTCTCAATTCTTATTGTACATACTATTGTTTGCTAATTAAAGAGTTTCAGAATCAATTTGTGCAGAAAATTGGAGATTATTGGGCAAAGTTTTCTCCACTAGCTATATAGCACGCATCATCATCACCTTCAATTGTCGTTTTAAATTATATTTATAAAGCATAGCTCAACATCCCCAAACTTCTTAGTTATTCAGGCACTTAATTGTGAGCCTAAAACCCCAAACTCCAACACTAGATAGGGCCAAAGCCTAGACCTTAACTAAAACGTACGAGAATCCTGAGCAAGGTCCAAACTCATATATCTATTTTCTCCTTCTAGAAGTATCTTAACATAAGCAAGGCAATGCCTGCCGATTAACTACTTAAAGTCACACATCACTTCAAAGTTCAAACCATAATAAACCTTACTAACTACTTTACATTACAGAGATACTAAATAATTATACCCTACCACCCAAATGAATAGATTGGTCTGCTTATAAAATTTATATCAAAATTAAGAATAGACAATTACAATACTACAAACTACTGCCAAAACAATTATATCATCAATTTGATTAAAAATATAACTAGTTCTTCAATATAGAAAAGAACATTTTCCCAAAAAGCAAAATTAAGCTTAGACAAATACAACACTATTGCCAAAACAATTTAGCATCAGTTTGATTATAAATATAAGTAGTTCTTCAATATATAAAAGAAAAATTTCCCAAAAAACAGGTTGAAAAAAAAAAATCAAATTTACCTCACAATACCAATGGTGTGGCACCCCATGAAGTCCTAAAAACTGATTAATCAAAATTAAGGGGAAAAAACAATATCAGTTGCCAAATTAGTTGGTATACTTAATTAATAATGCAATTAGAAACTACTATTGTGAGTAGTTTGTGCAAGAGAAAGATACCTGATGATTACAGAGCAGAAATAGAGAGAAAAAAAGGGTAAAGAAGAAATTGAATCAGATTTTACGATGAGTGTGAGAATGAGAGTGTGAGAGTGAGAGATGACGAAGCAAGAGCCGTGAATTAAAAACGTGAAACACCCTCTAGCAAAGGGTCCCGCGCGTTGCCTCGTAATGTTATATGATAGCCGTGCGTGGCACGGTTTATTTATAAATCAAACTAGATGGAAGTCTCTCGATGCACAGTTTTTTCATCTAAAATTTTTAATTATTTAATTTATTATATTTAATAATTTTAGATAAAATTACAAAAGTTTAATATTTATTTTTTTTACTATAATTTATAATGAATTTATTAAATATAAATAAATTTTAAATATGATACTTTTCCGTTATATAAAATCTTTAATGTGAAATGATAAATTTTTAATAATTTAATTTCTAAATCATTATTCATTGTTTTATCATATCTTTTATTTCAATATAATCACCAACCTTGTCTGCGACCAACCTACTACATCAATGGATAAATTGAACCGTGAAATGTTAGTCAAACTGAAATTGATATAAATTAAATATTTTCATTTATATAAAATAAATCAATATATTTACCAATAAATGTAAAATTGTTGCAATATAAAATCAAATCTATGCATTGGAATTTTTTCACCATCTCCAAAAATAACCAAAGTCATCCATATATTAAGTATAAAACATCTAATCGTATGCCATTACATAAACAAATAATCATTAAGTATCCTAAATAAATACAATGTAACTAATAACTACAAATATAAATTTAAACATAAGATTTTAAAAATTACCCGGACATTGATGACCTAAAACTAACACAATATTACTAACACAAAATTCGCTTGAAGGGGTTTTGTATTGATACGAAATTTTATTTGTGTCGTATGATATGTTAGATCTGCATGTAAAAAAACATTTAGTAAATAAAACATAAACATATAATCGTTGAGTATCCCAAATTAATACAATGTAAGTAATAATTAGAAATACTAATTTAAACATAGGATTTTAAAAATTAAGCTAAAAATTACCCGGCCATGACAAAAAATTAATACAAAATTACTAACACAAAATTCGTTTGATGGGGTTTTTTGATGATACGAAATTTTGTTTGTGTCGTATGACGTGTCAATTTATAATGGTAGGTATCACAAATTTTAATTTAATTATAATTAACGAACAATTTGTAATTCTTATCATAAATACTATCAAAATTTAACTTATAATGATAGGTATCAAACTTTATTATAAGCGTTTATCATTTAAATATTTCTTAGTATATTTTTCTTGGATTTCTTATACTCGTAATATTGAATTAATAAATTTATCTTTTTCTATATTTTTACTTTTACTCAAAAAAAAAAATATTTTTAGTTTATTTTTTTCATTAAAATAATTTTATTCGTGGATTATAATGTACGTGGCATTAAAATTTAAGATATATCAAATCTAATTTGTTACTTTTATCTAGGTGGCGACATAATTTTTTAATTCAAAAATAAAATACAAATCTTTCTTCTTATTGGTCGAAATAAGTATATTTCTTACGTGGCGCTCCGAATGCTCTCCAAAAATGCCTACTTTATTTATATATATATATTAGATTATTAATTCGTAGAAAAAAAAACAAAGATAATTTAATTAGTAATAAAGGGCTCATTTTCTAATGGTCGATACAAAAATAAAGTATTGCAATTCAAATAGTATTTTATGTTAGGAAAAATTAGAAATAATGATCCCAACTTTCATGAATTTTGCTAGAATAATCCCAACTTTAGATTATTGTGGAATAATCCGAACTTTGGGGGTAGTTCTTTTTTTTTAATCCCACTTAACTGGGTATCGGCTACGTAAGTCAACATGACCCTTTGAAGTCAAGAAGACCCTTTTGTTGACTTGAGAGCTTCATTTCACTTCCAAAGTTAATGCTGACGTGTTTTCTCAACCACCCCTTTGCTTCAACATTAAACCCTGCCATTACTTCTCTGTGAAAGACACTTAAAATTCGTATGCTCCACCATAATTGAACACAACCACTTATAAATTGTTCTTGAATGCAAATCGCCATTTCTGGAAAGCTTAGAAATTGAAGAGCAGAGGAAGGACCACACGAAGGAGGGTGTTAGAGATTAGTACCAAAACAGTAAGTAAGCAAGCTGACTAGAGATAGAAAGGAGAGCTAAGGGGGATAATTGTATTATCAAACTGATTGTTCAACAATACAGTGCCCTCATTCGAGAGGAAGGTGCTCTCCAATAACAAACCTCTCAATTAATTCTTTCATACATTCCCCTTAACCAAAACCCCTATTAATACCCAATATTAAGCAAGCTAACAAACTCCAGCTCAGCTAACACAAGGAATCTAGATAACAAACTTAGTAACAAACTTATTCCTAAATTACTACTTTACCCTCTCCCCAAAACTGATTTCTTACAAACTGTTTCCATGAATCAAGTATTATTTTTGGGCCTTCTTGCATATGTGAAGTGAATACTAGGATTGGGTTGATCCCTTGCAAAGGACACACTAGAGCACAGTTCAGGTAACCCTAGATCCTTGTGAATTTCTTTATTTTTTGTTGTTTAGTTGGGATTTGTTTCTGGATTTTGACCTAAAAGATATGATTTTGTGTGTTTATGTCGAGAATGTGTTTGATGTTTGTGTGATTGGTCGGGATTTGTTCATGATTAACTGGGTTTAGCGATAAACCACTAATTGAGTTGAATTATGTTTGGATTTGTTTGTTTGTTAGATATTGAGTAATTTTGTTTAGATTGTTGTGTTTGTTGCTTTGTGATGAATTATTAGGCTGAAATGAGTGCGGTTTTCCAAAAAAAATCAATTTGAAATTCTCGCATGGAGGGATTTTTAAGATCCTTGATAATGGTGAAATGGTATATGAGGGAGGTAGAGGTAGGACAAAGTCAGTGGACCCTAATGAATTATCTTATTTTGACCTTATGGAGTTGGGGAAAGAATGTTATAAGGGTAAGGCAGTTGAGGGTCTTTTCTATTTGATTCCTAGACTTAGTATTAGTAATGGGTTGAGGAGAATTAATACTGATAATGATGCAGTTGAGTTGGCAGCATTAGGGAAGAAGTTTAGGGGTGTTGAGTTGTATGTCTTGCATGCTGAAGAGGAGCCAGAACTTGACCCACAAGAGCCAGAAATTGAGCTAACACATTTTCAACCCTTGTTAACACAAGCATCTCAAAGTACTCCTCAATCTTCTAAACCACAGTTGATCAAACCAAAAAGGGGCCCATAACCTAAAATTCTTTTGACTAAAGTGAGGTCAAGTCCTAGGAAGATACAAACCACTCAACCACAATTAATTTCAAAAGGTGATTCCACACCTAAAAAAAGAGCATCTTCCACCTCACTCCAAATTAAAGATGTTGCTATTACTCCTGCACCCACTTCTTATCTTTCTGGCCCGGATCTAAAAACTGTGAAGCCTGCTACCTCACAAAAATCCCCCCAGAAAACCACTTCTTCCCCTCCTAAACACAAACCCTCCTCACAGTAGGAACCTACTGAGGATCCTGATTTTGATTGGTTTGATGATAGGCCTAACAGTCTAATCCCTATAAATGACCTTATTCCATATTACAGTGATGACATTGATGAGCAAGACCTTGCTTATGATTCTAGGGTAGACAAAGGGAAAGGAGTAGTTGTTGGGAGTTCAAAAGTACGGATAGGAGTATTTGGTGAAGTATACACTGATGTTGACACTAAGGATGATGAGTATGAAGTTGATGTAGTTGAAGAGGTGGATTTGGAGAAGCTAGATCTAGAGTTAGAGGATGAGTTTGATGAAGCTTTGTTGCAAGAGGATTTGGAACAATTATTTAGTGGAGCTTGCTGAACAAAAGCAGAGAGAAGCTACTCAGGGAAAGGTTGCAGATGAAGAAGTTGCAGACACTGAAACTGAACAAGGGCCCCAACTCTGAGTGAATTTATGAACAGTGAAGATGAAGTTGTATCACCAACTGGTAGTGAAGATGAGGGTGATTATGTTAGAAGGAAGAGGAGAGAAACTCTGTTGGTGAGTCCAGATTATGATTTTTCTCAGTTCCAATGGAAAGTTGGATTAAGGTTTGCAAGGAGGGAAGACTACAAAGTATGCTGTAGTACAGGGGAAAAAATATAACCTTCACTGTTGGCAACAAATATAGGCAGCAGAGGTTACGAGTGAAGTGCATTGGTGATTGTCCTTTTTACATATATGCATCTTGGCTAGGGCTGAGCAAAAATATCCGAAAAACCGAAAACCTGTACCGTAACCGTTCCGAATAATTGGGTACTCGAACCGTTTAAAGAATTCGGGACGGATAATCGAACCGATAAGAAATTAACGGGTCGGGTATCGGGTACCCGTTAAGACAGTTTCGGGTACCCGAATTACCCGAATATTTAAAAATGCTAAATAAAAGTATGAAACCCGTGTTTTGTTAAAAAAAAAAAGGATAACCCTACTTCTCGTTCTTTTTTTCTCATTTCTGATTTCTCACTCAGCCTCCATCCCACTTTCTCTCTCCTCTTCCTCTTCCTCCTCCCTTCTTCCTTACTCACCCACTCATTTATCAAATTTCTGGGCGACATTCTGGGCAGCGAAATTCAGCAACAGCCTAGAAGAAAACTAGCAACAACGAACTCAAGGGAAGCTGAACTCGGCGACGGAGGAACCGAGGTGGTTGTAGCTCTCGGTTTGCTACGAAACAAGCTGGAATTTCGTTGAGTTGAAAGCCGTACTTTGGGGGAAAGTTTCTGGGCTGGTTTTAGTTAAAGTAAATCTGCAAGAATAATAGGTTGAACTGAAATACATCGCAAGGAGTAGTTTCAAGTATTATTGGATTCATTTACTTGTTACATTTATTTTCTTACTTTCTCTGTTAAACCCCATTTATTTTCAGTTTTCATTAATGTCAGATTAAGGAGTAATTTGTTTAATTTTGTGAGATATGATGAATAATTTTTTGTCCGTGTTTCTGAATTTAATACCAATTAACCAACTCTGATCTCAATTTTTTTAAATTAAATTTCTTAATTTTATTGCGCTCAATGATTTTTCAGCCTTTGTTAATATTATTGGTTCGGTTCGGGTACCCGTATTTTCGGGTATCCGAATTTACGGGTACCCGTTCCTTATCGGATCGGTTTCGGTTATTGGTTTTGTCCTTATTGGTTATCGGGTACCCGAACCGATAACGTTATCGGTACGGGTACCCGTCCCATGCTCTCCCCTAATCTTGGCATTCTAGAAAGGCTTTTTTTTATAGTTAAAAGGGTTTGTGGTCATCATACTTGCGATAGAATTATGAAAAGGGACAGGCAAATGAAATCCATTTGGGTTGCACAATAATTTCTTGATGTGTTCAAAACCAGACCATATTGGCCTGCTAAATAAATAGTTTATTGCATTAGAAGAGCATACAAGGTCATAATTACTAGAGAGTTTGCATATAGAGTGAAATATGCAGCTCACAAGCTGTTACATCACTCAATGCATGAGCATTACCAGAAAGTAGGAGGGTATTTGGCCTCTCTGGAGAGATGCAGCCCTGGTAGTCACTCTAAGTTAGTGATTGTCATACACAAACAACCCCCACCAGTATTTTAAAGGTTGTTTATTTGCTTTGAGGGTTGGCTAAAGGATGGATACAAGGATGTAGAAAAGTGTTAGCTGTTGATGCATGTTTCCTCAAGACCTTTTTAGGTGGACAGCTCCTATGTGCTGTTGGCAAGGACTCGAATGATCATATGTTCCCTATGGCTTGGGCTGTAACTAAGAGGGAGAATAACTTAAGTTGGGAATGGTTTTTCAAGCACCTGCAATCATGTTTGGAGCTTGGTGATGGTGAAGGAGTAGCAATCATTAGTGATGAGCATCGAGTAAAGTAATGCAATTGAAGTTGCTTTGTACCATTTCTATGGTTGTTGTTTTATTGTTTTATTGTTTGTATGCAGGCTATCTTGAATGGTGTGTTTTCTGTTCTGCCTCTTGCATAACATAGACACTGTGCCAGGCATGTCTATGCAAACTGGTCCAAGACGTAGAGAGGAGATGAATTTAAACTCCAATTTTGGAAGATTGCAAAATCATACAACATGGCAGACTATGATGATGCACTTGCTGAGCTGACTGAGATCAATGTTGAAGTTGCACAAGCATTCAAAGCTTACAACCCATCTCTGTTTTGCAGAGCATTCCTGAGCACAGCCATCAAGACAGATGCAATAACCAATAATATAGTTGAAACATTTAATGTCTATATTATAAATGCAAGGACAAAGCATCTCTTGTACATGCTTTAGGATATCAGAATAAGATTGATGCAAAGATTGGTTCAGAAGAGGCAGTTAATGGAGAAGTGCACATCTGTCCCGTGCCCAAGGATTCAGAGTAAGCTCAATCAAGAGAAAGACAAAGCTGCTTTGTGTGAGGTGATCCCATCAATAATTAAATTGTTTAATGTCACATGTTGCTTAGATTAACTTGTTGTGGATTTGGAGGCAATGAGTTGTACCTACAGGAAGTGGGATATGCTAGGCATCCCCTGCTGCCATGCAATTACATGCATCTTCTTCCTCAACAGAGAAGCAGAAGATTTGTTCACCAATGTTACACCAAGGAAAATTACATGAAATCATATGCAGGAGGTATTTAACAAAGGCATTAAGTTCTTTATTTGTTAATTGCTCAACCTAATTTGCTATCTTATGATTGTTTAATGTTGTATGTATCAAGCTCAATTCCTCCTTTAGTTGGTGAAAGGTATTGGCCTAAGGTGAACTACCCCTTGCAGCCACCAGCCATAAAAATTGGACCAGGGAGGCCAAGAAAGAAGAGGGTGAAGGACCCCTATGGGAACCCAAAGAAACCTGGTGTGTTGACCAAAACTGGTGTAGAGATGACTTGCTCATTGTGTAATGTGAAAGGCCACAACAAAGAAGATGTCCTAAAAAGGGCAAAATTATGACATCTGAACCTCCTGCTAAAAGGTCTAGAGGGAGACCTAGAGCTGATGGTCAGCCATCTCACCAAAACCAAACTTCTGAGACTCACCAACCCCAACATCAGACAGCTGCTCCACACCATTCAGTGACTGCACAATGTACTTAGCTTAGGAAAGGTGGGAGAGCTATAAAAGGAGGAAGAGGGTCCAAAGGTGATCAATCTGATGCAGGGAGAGGCCAATCTCACCATGCTATTGCTGCAGGTGGTGAATCTGATGGTGGTAAAGGCCAAGGAAGGGGTGACAGAGGTAGGGGGAGCAGAGGTAGGGGTAGGGAAAGACAACATGTTCTAAGGGCAGTTGGAGTGCTCTTTGTAGAGGATGGTTCTGCAATAACCAATGTATGTGTTGTGTGTTGTGTGATTGAGTCACTATTGTAACTTTGTGTTGTGATTTGACCCTGTACTTTGCATTTTTCATGTCACAGGTCACTAGGGGAGCTCCAACCCATAAGAGCAGAAGTAGAGGTGATAGGACTATGTCAGTGAATCAAGGAGCTTTGAATTACCTGATTATGCGAAGCCAATAAAGTCAGCAGTCAACTTTGAACCAGTAGACTCAGTAGAACTTAGGCTGTATATGTGAAGCTTTTTTTTTTTTTTTTTTTGTGCAGAAACTATTCTAGAATATCATCAATAGCAATTAGGGTGTTTTTATGCCGCTTCTGTTGGTTTTTGGAATTGTATTAAACAAACAAGTCAGATGTTATGTGGGTGTGTGTTTTTTCAAACCATCATATGTAATTATGGCGTGGTTAACTTGTTGATGCCAAGGAAATGGCATGGTTTATCATGTAGTGTGCTTTGCTACTTTTATGATTTTTTAAGTCAATTATTACAAACTTTTGAACCTAAACCTTAAAAGGATTTCATTTCATACTGTTAATTGGGTACATGATCTTCATTACAAAAAATAACATCATACTCCTACTTCAAATACACAATCACCAATGCCAACTAAAATACAAAGAAAAATCAGAGTCCTCGAGAAATTTGTCTCAGCACTTGTACAGTGCATAAGCTCACTCAGTTGGCTAACTTCCCTTGTCAATTCTTTCACTTCTTCCTCCAATTTCTCTTTCCTTCCTTGCAATTTCTTCACCTTTTCTTCCAACAATGTCTTCTAAAACTCCATCTCTGCTATAGTGGTATCCTTCTCAAATATTTGAAATCGCAACTCATCCTCATTGCTTGCTTCAATCCACTTCATGAAATTGCAATTTGTATTCTGCACACCTCCCCACACCACATCCTAATTAACGGATATTAAATGAAACCCTAATTATGAAGTATAGAAAAACTATAATTAACTCAATTAACAACAAATTAAGATACTGTAACTACAAACAATTACAGTTACTCAACATACCGACCATTTAGGACATCCATAAAACTTTGAACCAATGTTATGCCCCTTCTTCACAGTTCGCACCACCGCATCCAACCCATAACTACACTTCATTGTTGAATAACAAACTCCCCCCCCCCCTTGAGTTTGCAGACGAATCGCAAGAGCCACCTTGAAATGACCTACTGCTAGCCATGATGATTAACCACCAGAGAAATTGATTAGCAATTTAGGGTGATTAGCAAAGGGAACATGGGAAGAGAAGGGAAAAGAAGATAAAGGAGGAAATAAGAATTGTAATGGTAACATAAGGTGGGAGGGTCTTTAATAAAGGGAAAGAAAAAAAAGTAAAAAAATGAAATAAAATAAAATAAAAAACCAAAACCCTATGCCACGTAGGATTGTGACTGGCATTAGAAGGTAAGGTGACCAGTAGGGATTGAAGAAAAAAAACTACCCCCAAAGTTCGGGTTATTCCAGAATAATTCAAAGTTGGGATTATTCTAGCAAAATTCATGAAAGTTGGGATTATTTTCTAATTTTTCCTTTATGTTATTTTCATTTCTTTTAATTTTTATAATATTATTTTTTAATTGAAATATATATGAATAATGCTCTGACAAGCGCACATTAGGGCGCGCTTTAAGGCATATAAATGGGTGATTTTGGATGTATTTAGGCCCGTTTTGGTCGTTTATTGCCTTGTTACACTCGTTTCCTTCATATTACGTGCTTCACGGGTTTCGGTCTGTTTTTGGTGTGTTAACAGGTATAGTTGACCAAGTTATGTCGAGTCCCGAACCATTGGTGCGTAATCAGGCTATTATCGATCCTAGTCCACCAAGCTAAGGCTTTGCTGCGGTTCTCAAGGCCTTGAAAGGCAAGTTAAGTAGCAGGCAAGGCAGAACAGTTCACAAATATGACACCTGTTCACTATTTTGCTCACAACCTTCAGTATACAAATGATAATGGAGTGATTCTAATTGCATTGGAAAGTAGACTTGAAGAGCTTTCCAACGATATATTGCACGCCTCAAACGGAGCTCTGGATAAGAAGTTGTGACTGTTTTAAGAAGACCAAAGTGTCTGCAACCTTCCTGCCTATGCTGCACGGCCGTGCCACTTTTAGCACGGCCGTGCCAGGCATTAGCACGGCCGTGCCAGGCATTAGCACGGCCGTGCCAAGCCAATTTCCATGCCCGTGCCAGTGCCAGATTCAGCACGGTCGTGCCAGATTCAGCACGGCCGTGCCAGGCACTAGCACGGCCGTGCCAAATTCAGCACGGCCGTGCCATAATTGAAGATATTGCGGATCAGCTACTGCCATGCTTGCACGGCCGTGCCACTTCCAGCACGGCCGTGCCGATTCACGAAGAGCAGCCTGCGATTTACTTTCCGATTTAAAACATATATATATAGCCCGATTGTAAGGGTTAAAAGACAGTTTTTTAGAGATAGTTTTTGAGAGCCTTTGTAGAGAGTTATTGGAGAACGTTCTTAGTTTTAGATATTCATTAGTTTTCTTAGAGATTATTCTAGCGATTTTAGTTTTCTTGGATTGATTTGAAGCAAGATTTGTGAAGATTCTTTGTATTATTCATTGACGACGGATATCAAAGTTCTGAACTTTTCCATTGATTCGCATCAATACAATTGGTATTATTCATTCTTGTTTATTAATCAAGCTTTATTATTCCTTAATCAGAATTCATGTTTATATCTATTATGCTTTTGGAATTCATTATTGCTTTGATTATGAATATGTGTGAGTAGTCTCCTAGCTAGGGTTTCGGGATGAAACCCGGCCTAGGTAATCTATGTAATTGAGGATTGATTTTGATAAACGGATTGTGATTAAATTGATTATATGCGATTGCATGTTAATTCATTATAATAGGAGTAGCTAACCTAGAATCTTGAATTTGATTGCATGATATCCTTGATTTGAACAAGAGATTGTGAATTGAGTATTTCATTATTGAATGTGGTTTGATTATGTATCGAGTAATGTTAAGTGCATGAGAAATCCAAGCTTAGTATTGCCCGTTGTCTTCCTATCACATGATATTGATCAGACATATAGTCTTTGCATATCCCGTTTGTCTCTGTGATTCCTTGTTGCGTAGTTACCGATGGTTTGGTGAATTCCCGTTCTCCCTAGTGTCTTAGTTTATAGATTTATTCCATCTTATTAGTAGTATTTTAGAACACCATTTTCCATTGATTTCGAACTAGCTTAGGTTTAAGATTGATTTGCAATTACCCTCGTTCCTCGTGGACCGAACCTTTATTTGCCATTGTACTTGGTTATAGGGTGTTCGTATAAGTATTGTTTGATTGAGAGTTAGATTGTAGCGACCGATTTAACCCTCGTCAAAATCCACATAACTATATAAGAGAAGTAGACTAATTATTTTCTATCTCTGTAGGGAGAAAAAAAATAATTAAAATTTTCTTGTCATATCATTTGCTTTAGTAATTACCATCTAATACATGTTTCTCCCGTCGCATTCACCAAAACTATAGACACGATAAATATATGGAGTAATATTTATAGTTACGAATTAATAAATATGGAAAATATTTTAATATAGATTTGGAAAATATGTGAATAAAAAATATCATAATTAATTAATTATATAATTTGGAGAATATTGTATATAATTTATCATAGGTAGTTGACGGTATTGACCAAAAAAAAAAGGGAGGGGGAGTTTTAGAGGGAAAATAAAGCACCAGGAACTCAGGAAGTGACATGTGTCATTCCTGATGTCTGTTTTAGTATTATTGTATTGATTTTTATTATAGGGTTTGAATTATTTTATGGAGAACGATTTGACAAATTGGTGTCAAAAAATAAATAAATTATCAAAATAGAGTTTATTAAAAATCTATCTAATATCATATCATCATATAAATAAAGCTGAAATCTCGCAGTTAGGCGACGAGATAGCGACACTTGGCATTCTAAATTTTTGCCAAGTGTCGCGTCATGTAGGCGACAAATAGGTATTATTGTGACACATATGATGCTATGTAAGCAAATTTTGGATAGGTTTTTTAAGATAAACATGTTGTACATAGTTTTATTATTGATATACTTCTAATATTTCATATATACAAAATTAATCATAACTTTTAATAATATCCTATAACTCGGTTCTATTTCCATCATAAAATTCATTTTAAAAAGTCCTTTATAATAATATCCATATATAACATATTTAATGTATTAAAAAAAAACATTTAAGTTCAATATAAATAAGATATCTATTTACAAACAAAATTACAAAAACTACACTATTAATAAATATTTTGCTTTATCAAAAGAGATTATATGACCCTATTTAACATTCAAGTCAAAAAAATTTATCCTAAAATTTTATCAACAATCCGGGCACCAGGCACAGGATTGAAAGGGGAGTTTTTCCTGAGTTTTTAGAGCGTTACACAGGATTGAAATTTCTTAACGCGACACTTAGGATTATAAATTTTAGGTATAGCCAATTAAATAAGAGATTTGTAATTTTTAGAATTAAATAATTCAAGTATCACATAAGCAAAATTGGCGAATGAGATATTAGAGTTTAAATTAATTAATTTATAATATTATCTTTTGAAATTATAAATTTTATCACATAAATACCAAGAATATTTTGTATTAAAAAATACAAACAAACTGTGCATCGCACGAGTTTCATCTAGTTATTTCTTAAAGAAGTGTCCATGTAGGGTTGGAAAACCGAAACCTATAAATTTTTATCGCTTCGTTTTAAAAGTCTAAATAAATACATCATTAGAGTCTCAAAACTAGTCCCAAGCGTAGTCCCAGATGACCTCCTTTCCAAAGACTACGAAATGAGATGGATGAGGGTATAGTAATCAAGCAAAGGTGACATGTAGTGTTTGTCAACAAAAGGGACACAATAAAAAAAAAATAAAAAAAAACCTTGATCATTGAGTTTAGTTGTTCAAACGAAATTAATTTTCTTACTAGCGTTGATGCATGTCTAATTGTTAACTTATCAAATGGAGCCGCTGGCTCTACTTCTGGGCCAACATGACTACATGACCCACCAAATTTTCATTTGAAGCATGAGCACATCCATACCTTAAGGTTGTTTATTATCTCCATTTTCATTAAAAAAAAATGGTGCTAAGAAGATTAGTCATGTTTAGAGATTGAGTTTTTGACTCATTATAACATGCTTTGAGATATTTAATTTGCAATAAAGTGTAATATCATCTCCAAATTGATATTACAATGCAGAACTAGACAGTATGTTTCAAAAACACTATGATGATTAATAAGTGCCCTTTTGATGATTTAAGTCCAACTAAATAATGCATTTTGTATCATGTTACATACGTATGTTTTTTTGACAAGTTTTATCATAACAAAAATGATAGAAATTTTTTAAACATTTATTTATATTAAATTGTATTCATAATTCATACTCTAGTTAGTGCTTATTGTATCCATTTTATGTTAAAATACAGAAGCATTAATTATTAAGGGCCTTAAGGCTCAAGGCTATAAAGTTCAAAATATTATAAGCGTTAATACAAAATAATTTGATGGTATACGTATTTATAAGGATTTTATTAGGAAAAAAATCATCCCTTGAATGATTTTTCTAGCCATTAAGTTTTAACTCCTAGCTTTGTATTTTCCGATCCTGCATGGACATTATATTGAGAAATATTTTCAAGTGAACACTATTTTGGTAATTTATTTATTTCTTAACACCAATTTGGCAAATCGTTCTTTTATGGGTAATGCTATATGT